AAATCTCAGAGGCGTCACTTGGAAGAAAAGGGGTTGTAGTTTTTATGCGAAGTGACGTCGTTTTCGGTTTTGGTTAGAGTCCCATATCGTCCAAATAGAGTTACTAATATGTCCTTATAATAACTGTTCACTCTCTACCCTTTGCCCCGGTTGTGGGGTGTTGGGCTGATCCAATTTGAGAAACAGCCGGGCCCGGCTCTAACATTACTGGCCACAGGTCTATTCCGAGATATATTGGGCTAGGCTCTGTAGCCGCAAATTGGCTATATATATATATATAAATGCTCGTAGGTAGATGCTTGGAGGATTTCGTGGACCAGCCTTCATTATACAGGGAGCTTTGTGTGGCCCAACTCCTAACTAACCTCACAGCCCGACAATTTTTTTAAAAAAATTAATTCTCATTTCAGCTCAACGATTTCCTTTAAAAAAAAAAAAAAAGAAAGAACAAAAATATACAGAAGAATAAAAATGGAGAATGATAATATTGAGATGCCTAAATTTTTTCATTCAAATGCTTAATTTGTTTTCCTTGAATTTTTTAATAGGACTATAATTTCACATATAATTAAGAAAAAAATATATATTACTCCTACCTCTTAAAATTTTAGAAAATTTAAAACTTAAAACTCTTTATTTCTAGTAAATACCGTGTTACGTTTTTAATTTCAAACAACACATTGATATGCTTGAGTTTCTCTCTTTATTTATTTATTTTGTTTTTGGTTCAATTTAGTAATAGGGACACCATTTAATTTAACATAATTATGTTTTTGTTTTCTTAACTATTGGGGAAAGGTGATTTGAGATTTAGCACTCTAAGTACTTACAAAGCTACATCCAAACAAAAACAAATAATCATAAAAAAAATATTTTTTAATATAATTTTCTAAGTTTGACTAAGTTTTTGCTTTTGTAATAGACAAAATCTTTACAATGATTAAGTTAAATGTATGTACATATCTTTGAAATTAACCTCAAAGACCATATATTAAGTTGAGAGCACATGTGACTACAATGAAATGTTCCCTCTCCATTTAGATGTACTCTTTTGAAACAAGATTATTGCAGAGAATGATTCTTTCTTTGTTTCTTTATTGTGTGTGTATATGTATGCATGCATCTGTATAGTGTGACGCAAACATTGGTGGATGGAGGAATGTGTGCATTTCTTTTACCTTCATTAGCTTTGTGCATGAGTAAAAAGTTAACCAAATGGTAAACGCATTAATAAAATTGAGATACTGAATTTTTTAAAGTAAAAAACCCATAAGGAAAAAAATACCAGACCTCAAAAAATTCCACTGTTGAAATGGTAACAATAGTAAAATTACAAGGTTTCTTCTCTATCTCTAGACAAGACTAGGGGTTCTTAACAACAATAAATCACAACATCACAATCATTGCACCAAGTTGAATAGCAAATCTTCAAAACTACAGCTTGACATGGACAGATTACAAGCTGGTTGAATTCAGCAAAGGTCATATATGCTTTCAATCGGCACCTCATTGTTTTAAAACTCAAAAACCCAAAACACTTAATAGCCAAGAAGGAGGTACAACTGAGTATATCCTTCTCAATCAGCACCTCATTGTTTCAAAAATCTCCCAATACATCAGAATGGAAAATGTGAGATTCTGCAGTATTAAAATTTATATTTAAAATTTAGATTCATTGGTTTTTGTTTTTTGAATTTGAATTTGATTGAAACTAAAACTAAATTAAGAATCATAATAGTAAGGCCTTCACTTGGAACTACAAGGAGGAAGTTGAGGATTTAAAAAGGATAATAGAATTAAATGGTATTCATGTTCCTTTCATAAGAAAATTGTCAAGTCTCATCCATTTAATCTCTTTGCAATGATCATAAAAGCATAAATCATTTTTGAGGCAAATTGAATGCAGCATAAACCAAAATTAAAAACCAAGAATAAATATACTATACCTGAACAGTAGATTGTAGGATTCATGAGCTTCAAGTAAGAATTGGTTCTTGCTACTAACTATCTACCCATACATAACCTGCACATAATGGACACATATCATTTATCATATGAGAACAAGCAACAAAAGAGGAGAAAAACCTATTGTCTCAACTCAACTTGCTATGCTTATATGTAGTAATCAATTTAAATTTTCTAAACTCTCATATCAAAAGCATAAAAGATGAAGTCAATTTCAATCTTTCTTTCAAACAGGGTTTTACCTGATCTTGATCTATCTCAATGCAGGAGATGCTACGAGTGAGATGCCAATAATTGCCTTTTGCCTCAAAGCACTGCTGTTTTAGATGTTGGCAATTTTTTATGCTAAGTTTTCCAAGCAAGGGAGGCAAGCCTTCCCTTGGCAAGGACCGGAGCTTCGGACAATTGTATATATGCAACTGTTGAAGAGAGTTAAGGTTGTGAAGCCCTTTGGGTATGGATTCCAAATTTTCTACATTAGTGATCAAAAGAGAAGTTAAAGAAAATGGCAACACAATATTAGGAGGCCATGTTTGACTAATTGCCAACTCCTGAAGAGAGCTAAGGTTGTGGAGGCCCAATCCCACCAACAAATGCCCATTTGAAGTGGATAGTCTTTGGAGTGATCTCAACTCAACCACGTTATTCGGTAGCATCATGAGATTCTCACAATACAATACAAGACTTGTTAAGCTTGGAGGCAAAAGCCCATCTGTAATGCACTTGATGTTGGGGCAATCTCTTATATATAAGCTCTGAAGTGATTGCAACTGGTACAAGGTATCTGATACTGATAAGGCCTTAAGACTTTTACACCCTATTATTGTTAAACACTCTAGATTGGGGATGGATGAACCAAACTCTGGTAGGGCCTCTAAAACTTCACAGTTTGCGACTTTTAAATAAACAAGGTTGCTGAGGCCATCAAAGATGGGTAAGCTTTTCAATTTGTCACAATAACTTATAACCATACGTTGAAGTTTGGTGCAATGTTGCAACATCCTCTTTGGAAAGGACTCCAACCCTTTACAATTTTCAACATAAAAATGCTCGAGAGAATTTGGCAGTTGATCACCTTGAAAAGAATTTAGAGATGGAAGTGCACGTAGTTTCAAATCTTTAAGATTGCTATTGTCAACATCCAATAGAGATTCAAGATTTTCACAGGTGCTTATGCACAATGATTTAATCATGGTAGATAATTTGCCTCTTGGAAAAGACTTGAGAAAAGAGCAACGCCTGATGGTTAAATTTTTCAATGTAAACAAGATGTTGTTACTACTTCCATCCATGTTTGTCATAAGCATATTGGGTAATGACCCAAATTCCCCACAGTTCGAGAGGAGAAAATCTTTAAGGTTGAAAGGCCTGCCTTTTTCTTTCCCTACCAAACACACAAGCAGAGGACAATCAAAAATTACCATTCCTTCTAGACGAGCAAGGTTTGCTATTTCTGCTCCTTCCTCCCACAAACAAGTAAGTTCTTCACAACTTTTAACACTCAGAAACTTAAGCATTGTCAGGGACTCCACAAAACTCTTAGGCAAGCAATTAAGCTCTGGAATTCTCTCAATTCTCAAGCTACTGACAGAGGTGAGATCAATCATGCTCTTCAAAAGAGCAACATTACAATTTTCAATATTTAGTTGTTTAAGCAATGGAAGACTCATAGAGGAGCATCTTAACTCTGGACAGTTATATATCACAAGACTTATGAGGGAACCTAGGTTGCTTGGTAATTGTCCTATCAACTTAGGACAATTTTGAATCACAAGCCTATAGAGACAAGGGAATTCACGTCTACTTCCTGTTGGAGAAGACCATTCTTTCCAATTAAACATATTGCGAAACACTAGTTTATGAAGTGATGGAAAAGTTCCATGCCCATAAAACTCAAGACCCACAGCTTCTATTGCCTTCATTCCTTCAATTCTCAATTCTTTAAGAACAAGTAATTGTCCAAGTGATGGCAACAAAGTGCATCTCTCACAATTTTTGAGCTCCAAGTATGATAAACTAGAACATAATGGATCACCCATCCATAATGGGAATTTGTAGCCACCATAGAAAACAATTTTGAGTCTTTTCAAATTTGAATGAGGTTTTAACCAATTTAGAACATGCAATTCGTCATTGCTTCTATCCCTTGAATTACTGAAATAAGAAGTCCACTCTAAGAGTAAATCATTAAGACCATGTATGACGCCTAGGTTGGCTTCCCTAGCGTCTTGAATATCAGAAACATTCTGTAGATCCAGAATAGACAATCTTCCTCGAAGTTGCGAGAAGTTCTTTAAATCAGATAATCTCATCAATCCATTTGCCTCCCCCACCATAAATTTGGAGAGTGTCAAAAGATTTTTAAGATTGGCTATTCCTGTTGGCATCTCCTTTAAAGAATTTGTCCCCTGAATATTTAGATGATGGAGCTCAACTAGGTTCCCAATTGTCGAAGGAAATTTCAAAAACTTGTCACAATTGAATAACAATAATGTTTGTAATTGGAGAAGGAACCCTATGGATTCAGGTAGGCTCTCAAGCAAAGTTCTTGACAAATTGAGGTACTTCAAGCATTTTAAATCTCCAATAGAATCTGGTAATTTCCGTATGATATAATTACAAAGAGATAACACCCTTAAGCACCGTAATTTCGGTAACCAATCATGCACCACTGTATTTGATATATAGAATTGATCATGTAGAAAGATTGAAACAGATGGAATGAATGTTCTTAAACTCTTCATTTCATTCAAAACTTCAAATTTCTTGGATATATCATACTGGCCAGGGTAAAATGACAAATGGCGAACCTTCTCAAAATTCACTTTTGATTTTTTATTGGCCTTCCATAGATGTTCTAGATTGAAGGATGTTTTTCCAGCAACAAATTGAGCTAGATCATGTATGAGATCATGCATCACATACTGTGATCCATTCTTACTTGACCTTTGAAAAAATGCTCTTGATGCTAACTCATTAAAATATCGCTGTCCAACTTCTTCTGAATATTGTTTTTGGAAAAGCCCCACACCCATCCACAACAAAACTAGCTCTTTCTTGTCAAACTCATAGTCTTTAGGAAAGACAGCACAGTAAGCAAAACATGGTTTCAAACAAGAAGGAAGATAATAATAGCTTAATCTTAAAGCTGGAAGAATGCCTCTTTCGCTTTCTTGTAGCTCCCATATTTCACTATTCAAGATGTGTTCCCAAGTAAAATGATCTAACTTATCACACAAAAGGCCTCCAAGGATTGTTGCAACTAGTGGTAATCCTTTGCACCTTTTAACAATATTCTCTCCAACTTCTTTTAGACTTGGGTATGCATCAAAGTTGTCAGCTCCCAAAGCACGTTGAGCAAATATTGACAAGCACTCTTCATCCTTCAACACTTTTAGGTGGTGAGCTCTAGACTTCCCTCGCATAATTTCTACAACATGCTCACTGCGAGTTGTGATCATTATTTTACTTCCAGCTGCCCCAAATAAGAATGGTTTTTGTAAGCTATCCCACAAGTAGGGGTCCTCATTCCAAATGTCATCTAGTACAAATAGAAACTTCTTGTTGGATAACATCTTGCTCAATTCTTGTTGAAGTAAATTCAAATCATTCGAATCACACTTTCCCCCAACTGCCTCTAGAATAGTTCTTGTTATGCTTGGGATATCAATTTGATCAGATACACAAACCCAGGCCTTAAGCTCAAAGCTTTCTGGCTTCACCTCTTTGTAAACAAGTTGAGCTAAAGTGGTCTTCCCAACACCTGGCATCCCATGGATAGGAATCACACAAAATCCTTTGGAACTGCTACCTTCATCATTGAGCAACTTTTCAAGAATAGCTGCTTTATCACTTTCTCGACCATAAACATAGGGCTCAGGTAGAGAAGTAGTGGGTAATCTTCTTATAGATGCTTTGTTAAGTCCATCTCTAGCTTGAATTGTCAAACTCATTAGGTGGAGTGTCTTTGATTCATCTATCATGCGTTGCAATTTGCAAGTGATATCATCCACTTTAGAAATAGCTTGGGAATTAGAGACAAACTCACTTTGTTTGAAACAGTTGAAACATGAGGGGATGAGTTTGCTGGTGTTGGAATGGTGTGGTTTTGTAGTTAAGGTGTTCTTTTGGGCATCTGTCATGAATTCATCCAAGACGTCTTCCATATCATAAGCTAAGTCCCTGATATCATCAAGCCATATCTTCACGAAGTGGCTGGAATTGAACATTTGAGTCTTTTCTGCATCTTCAAGCAGGGCGTGAATTTTCAATGATAAGCTTTCC